GGCTTCCTGATTGGTTAGCAACCCGGTCTGCCTACCAACAAGTGAAGCCTGCTTCCCAGCCAATCAGGACGCCATGATGCATGACCTTAGATGACCAATTATAGGAATGCACATAAAGAGATTTGTATAGTATATCGGGGCTCCAGGGAATATACAATTTTTCTTCACTGAACTGCTTGTGACCTGTTTTGGTCCATTTCTTTTTTCCTGTTCTTGAGATCGAATACTATCCCGTACAACACTTGAGATATACTTTTTTCTTAGAATTGAAAAAGCCCCTAAAAAACAACCACACTTCCGCTTCTTCTGTTTGTTAGGCATAAAGAAGATATTTTGAAAAAATGGCATATACGTTAGGCATAGAAATAGATGAAGAGATAAGAAGAACCTTTAAAAGAAATGACATGCAGATTCAGGAAACCGAAATAGTAATCCGCAACAATTTTAGACAACATAAAAAATTAGTCGTCAAGCACCTGAACCGCAAATGGAATATCATGTCCCTGGAGTCATACCTGGAGGCAGGAATGATTCCAAGAGGACTCAGGGAAAGAGTTATCCCGGCGGAACACTTGCAAAACGACAGATTTTTACAAAAGTGGCAAAAACAATGTGTCGAACACGGCCTGAATGTTATTAAACTGATTATTGAGGAAGAAAAAATCCAAATGCAGGAATTACAACTACAAATAGAGGAGAGCTCGTCAAACTTAGAACCCCTAAAAGAACATGACTCTTTTAAAAAACAAAACAAATTCTTACGTAAAGAAATAGAGAGGATTCAAAGGAATCTAAGACAGGTTAAGCAAACAAAGTATCAAAGGGACCTCGGCGATTGGGAATGAGGGGACATCTTTGATTTATCAACTAAAAGAGGGAGAAGCCATTCTAGAAAGAGACAACCAAAAAGCAAAGAACGCTATAATGAGGAAACTAGTGAAAGTGAAGGAGAACACACACGTAAGACAGTTAGTTTTTTAGACTCGGGGGAGGGGGAGGGATTGGTGAAATTCAAAGGACAAGAAAAAACAGAAGAAAAAGGAGAGGGAAATCCAAAAAAACAAGACAGAAACCGCGAGTACAAAATAATGACGAGAAGGACAAACCGTCACACATAAGATCACATCACCCAGAAAGAGATGAGATATCCCTAAATGTAATTCACTTAACAGATTTCGAACTAAATACTAATCGCATAGAGTTATTGAAACGGGGCCTATCTTTTTCACCAACTGATGGGATGGATGAATTTACAATTTTCAAAGACCTAAATTTATTCCTGAGGAGAGTCTATTTAAGGTACATACATGAACGAAAAGTAACCAATCCCTCAACCCTAAAAACAAATTACGAGTTTAAAAACATAAAAGACGATCTAGATGCCCAGGCTCTGAAAGATCTGGAGGCTCTCCTTGAAGAGAATCAAGGAGAACCTCTAGAAGATCCCCCCACGAGGAACACCAACTTAAAACTGAAATCGAAAACAATGCCGACACTGACAAATAATATACATATTTCACTTTTTAGAGACCTAGTCCAGAAAGATCTAAAAGAAACAACTTGGGACATTAAAGGAGAGGAACTAAGGGGATAACTCAATTGGGGTATTCAAGCATTCCTGTATTACGCCATACAGGGAGGTAATCACAGAAGAGTCATTGTAATGGAGCAGATTAGGAAGATCTATGATCTGTATTACTGCATACAGATAAGTATATTCGTCTCCTCATTTAGTCTCACAGAGAGGGAGTAGGTATAAGATCGCAGAAAGTCTATGACCTGTATTACATCATACAGTTATATAATAAGATTGGTGGTACTTGCGGTTAGCAGAATCCTCAGTGGAGGTGTGGAGGTTTGTTGAGGGAATGTTAGTATCTGCAGACATTGTGGGTCAAGCTGTATCCAAGGGAGATGCACTCAGGGAACAGCAGCAGTACTGAAGAGTGCATAATGAAGTAAGCAGCCAGCTTGGAAAATGGTGAGTGCACACAGGTGTCAGCAGCAGTGATGAATGATGAGGAGCGCAGACAGCAGCAGCAGCAGATGAAATAGGGCTACATTCGTGTAGCAGAGGAAGCAAAAGGAAGATGAATTCCCACAGTGGAAATACTGTATGCTTAGAGGAGAAGCAGAATTCATCCAAGAGGATTCAGTCTGCTGGGAGATAAGAGGACCCGCTGTCAGTGAGCCGGCATCTACACATTACACATACGCCGATTGTTTTAATTTCCTGGCTTAAGAAGGGAAAAGAGAGGATAATATAGCGGGACATGATTGATTAGGGCGGGGCTGCACACTCATGACAGAGTAGACTAGAACTGAGTATATTACAGGTAGACTCTGAGGAGCATTTGGACTCAAGCATGGAATAATCCAGGTTTTCTGGGTCAGGTTCCTGTGGAGGGACACTGCAGGGCACCCCAGAGTTGTGTCACAGTTCAGCTGCAGACTTGCAGCTGAGCTGTTACTTGTAGTTCTACAAGTATATACAGACCTCTTACCCCTGGTTCTGCAGGCATGCAGGGCTGTGCTGGTGCTTGTAGTCCTCCAGACATGTGCCCTGTACCTGATTCACACTTGCACCAGTCTGCAAGCTTTAGGCGTCGGCCAACCACTCCTGCTGTTTCTTATACAGCTTCTCGGCCAATCAGTGCAGTCTGCTTGTGGCCAGTCCTGTGGATCCTCCCTCTTCCTGTCTCTATTTAAACTAAGGGCAGCGAACGGCACGCTGCCCAAGCAAAGCTTTCCCAAGCTAGTTGCTGAGTCCCCCATTTGCGATTGACCCTGAATTCCTGGAAATTTCCCTGTGTACTGAACCTTTGGCTTGTCCTTGGAAATCCCTGTCTACAGTCTGCCCTGTGCTTTCCTTTGTCCGCGGATAGCCCTGTCTACGGTCTGCCCTGTGTTTTGCTTTTGTCCTTGGAAATCCCTGTCTACAGTCTACCCTGTGCTTTGCTTTGTCCCTGGAAGTCTTCAGCCTGTCCCTAACCTTTGATTCATACCCTTTACATGTTAGGTGAGTTGGGTGGACCTAGGGATTGTGACCTGGGGTCAGCACGCAGCCAAGCCCATCTCCACCATCAGGAGCTCTGGCGAATACTGGCTGGCCCTTAGATTCCACATCCTGGGGGACCCAATGCCACCTACTCAGCATACCATGCCACCTACTCAGCATTGCAGCACCTGACCTTGTATTTGAACTTCCAGCTTAAGCTGACTTACACTCCCTCTCTGTTCCCTGCTTTTACTCCAGCTCTGGGAGTTGTCAGTCTACACTACTTGGATCCCTTTCTCTAAGTGTCGCTGCCAGTGTAGTGGAAAGGGTCCACATACATGACTTCAGTTCATACCCGTGAGTCCCAATACGTGACAAGTTGTGAATGGATGGTGAGCTAAAGAGACCCACATGACCTCTCCCTGTGTGTTTGGGATACAGCTTGTTGTGCTGAGGCAACATGAAAAAACATAGGAAGAAGTACTTATAAACCAGCTGGTAAAAGCAGAAGAGGTTTATGGCCGGAGATGACTGAGTCACTGTAGGTGGCAGCCGGGCAAACAGAGGTAAGACCATGTGACCCTGGTAGAGGACAATGTCAAGCAGACTACCTCACACTAAAAAGGTGAGGACAGGGAGTGCACTGTGTGTGGCACTACACTTAGTGATGCAGCACTTCATTCTCCAGTGCATTAGACCTTTCCTTGGTAATAACAAAATAGGTAAGACAAAGAAGGGAGAAAATAACAGTGTGCCATGCTCATGGTACAATAGGACAAAACTCTTAAGAGCCTTACTATGATCGTAGACCTGGAAAGTGATCTGTGGCTAAGAAAAAATATCCGCACTCCGGTTATATTAAAACTTCTATTGTCCACACTGTCTTATCAGCACTTTCTGTTCAAGGCTACTGTCTCCCCAGTAACTGCGGTGCGAGAAAAAATGGATGCCTCACTTGTGATTTGCACGAAAGAAGAGCAGCATGCAAGGCTCAATAATCAACAGTGCTCACTACAGTGAGATGCTCATTTAAGAGCTGAAGCCTAAATTTTGGATTAAATGCAGAGGGCTGCTATCCAAGGGCATTGTTAGGATCCAGAGCGCCTCCAGGTGGCGCTGGAGCTAAGCCCTGCAGTTTCCATACTCACCTGCGGGGGTCTCCAGGCGGCCAGGAACTGCTGGGTACCAGACCTCCACTGGGTGGTGCTGGAAACCAACTCCAGTGCTCACCTGCAGGTGTCTCCCAGCTGCCACCAATCCACCACCAGGTGCTCCCTGGGTGGTTACTTAAGCCCTCCCTGCAGTAAGGTCTGTGGCTCAGTATTGTTTCCTGTTAAGCCTGAGTCCCCAGTCCTGTAACCTGCTTCTGTTCCTGAGTCCTGTATCCTGTGTATGTTCCCTGCTTGTTGTCCAGAACCGGGACCTGTTTATGTTCCTGAGTCCTGTTAGCTCCTTGTAACCTGACCTTTCGTCCCTTAGTTCCCCTGGTGTTTTGCTTTGCTCCCTGGGTGTGCTTGCCTGTTTCTTCTTGCATGTGGTGGTGTTTAGATGTAGTTGGTTGCTAAGACTTGTTTCTGTGTGTATTATTCTGGTTGGCATATTAAAACGGTATATCATACATTCTGCCTTGTCCTGTGTGGCCACGTGTTTGGTCTGCCTGTGTGGGTACCTGCGCAGGTGTGGGGTTACCTGTGCCGGTATCCCTGACAGGCATTCTGATCTTGCATGACAATGCGCACCCGCACACCTCTGTCCACACTGTTGACACTCTGCAAAACTTTTTAAAGTTTTTAACAGTTTAACAGTTTTAAGGTGTTAAAGCAACCCCCCTACAGTCCTGATCTTGCTCCATCGGACTTTGACCTGTTTGGCCCCCTGAAAGCAGCCCTACGAGGACGAGGATTCACCTGTGATGAAGAAGTGGTGCATTTGTGGCTCGCAGCTCAGCCTAAAACATTTTATGAGGTAATACGAAAGCTTGTTGACAGGTGGACAAAGTGTATTGAAAAGCCTGTAGATATAATTAGCTTTATCTTCCTATATTATTCTCAATAACTTTCTAGGTTCTTCTTCCTGATCAGTGAGTGGGATCTGAAGTGGTCAGCAGGGTTTCCCCGGATTTCATTTTGAAAATCTGGTAACCTTAATCTAAGGGCTTTCCAATGTCTGTAGGCATTGTCAGAATATTTTTTTATGTTACGGCTGGCAAAGCCTTTGCATATGGAGGATGCAGCAACATGATGACTTCACCACTAAGCTGATTGGAGAGATTGCAGATCCAAAGGCCGACAATGTCGCTACAAATTTATCAGCAGGATTGTGCAGTTGCCAGCTTGACACAGAAAATTACTTGAGAATAAGGATGAGAAAATAAACACAGCAAATTTAGAAGAATGACAATGAAATCAGTCTAGTTATTTAAGTAAAATTAACCCTATCTGCAAGGAGTTGGAATGTTCTCCCCGTGCTTGCGTGGGTTTCTGGGAACACCGGCTTCCTCCCACACCCAAAGACATGCTGGAAGTTTAATTGGCTCCTGTGCAAATCTGTCTTGTATGCATGTGAGATAGGGACCTTAGATTGTAAGCTCCTGAAGGCAGCGACTGCTGTGAATGTGCAGTATGTAAAAGCGCTGTGTACAAATTGTCTGGGCTATATAAATACCTGTAATAAATAAATATTTAAAGCCTATTTATTTTATTTATTGCTGCAAGGTTTTTAAATATTGTAGGCCTGTCCTTAAAGAGGATGGGATTTTAGGGTTTTCATTTTTGGGAGGTGTATTGTTTTTAATTTTTTTGGTGATAGGGCATTTATTAAGTTTGGGGTGCTCAAAGTGCAGCATTCACTTGTTGCTCACCATCTGTTTTCATAACTGTCTTTAGTTGCATACTGCTTGCTCATTTTTAAGAAAAAACCCAATTGCAAGAACAGTGTGCCCCAAAATTACCTCATACTTTCACTCACATTCACTGCATCCCCCTACTACCATAGACCTGACTAAAATCCAAAATATCAGGCAGGCCTAAAGTACAGGCAGCAGTGCTGCAGGTGAAGGTAGCAGAGGATAATTGACTCCAGAAGTTGTCCTTGAAAGACAATATGGTAGTGGGGCAACACACAGCATAGGCGTAGCCTGCATTTCCTTGGCCAGAGTGGCTGACCACTTCAGCCACAGCATGCAAAGCAAGGCATTGACTGGGTCATGAAACCTGCACCATCTTCCAGTATTCATCCAACATTGCTGATACGCCCTCTTTCTCCTGAGCTAATGTCTCTGCCCCCTCCACTAATCTCACCATACCCCTGCACACTTTTATGTTAGGACTAAAGCTTCAATTTTTAGCAAAAAAAACAACTGGCTGTGCTTGTGTGTCTACATTTGAGAATATCTGATTGCAACTGTGGGCACAGTGTATTGTGTTAGGTTTTTCTTCTTTTTTGTCCTTCTCTCTATTGGTTGAATTTGATGGACTTGTGTCTTTTTTTCAACCTGACTAACTGTGTAACCATGTAACTATCTCACTGCTGCAATACAATTGCTAATATGGGGATTGTTGGGAGTTGGTTGCTTTTCCTCAGACCTTTTGCTCAAGTTGAATCTCAAGCATGTTATATATAATATTTCTATCAATTTCTTTCTATATGTATTACTTACAGACACACTTTGGGATTCTGTCCCATTTTCCATGTAAGCATACGGCAGCTTCACTTCCAGACAACTTATAGCCCAGAAAACATTCATAGGCAGCACTTTCAGCATGCTTGTATTCTTTCCTACCATCTCGCGGTTTTCCATTTTCTATTTCTTGAGGCTTTTCACAGGAATTTTCTTAACCAAAAATAAATAAATGAATGAATAAACAACATGCAAATGTCATACATGGGGGAGATATGAAGGTAGCCATTATGGAAATGATGTACTTATGCAGTACAAACAGCAACAGTTATTAACTTAATAATTTAGTAAAGACATTTTTTTTAATCAGTACCATCACATGGTCTGAGAGTGAAGAAATCTCTCTGCAAATGTTCGGCAATGATGTGCACTTAATAATCCATCAAATCACTATGCTTTATGGATTTTTGTCTTCCTCTGGATCAGCTGTGGGATTAGGGATCTGTGTATGCAGGTTTTAATTTTTTTTTCTCTTGGTTGAACTCGATGGATATGTCTTTTTAAACCTGAATAACTATGTAACTATTTAAATATGCAAAACCCTGGTAAGCCGTCAGTCACCTCTCTGCGACGCTGCAGGAGATCCTGCATCACAAAAGATTGCATTTTACAATGTTAGGTGCATTGCATTGCCATTATTTCTTAATGACACCCCAACACAACTAGACATTACATGTGCATTGCATTGCACAACATTGCATGTACTACTTTGTGTGTGATTTAGCTGCAGTAGGGAGCTCGTTAAAATAAATGGGCTGCCTACCACTTCGCACTGCAAGCACACTGTTCAACGCACCTGCAATGTTACAATGCAGAGGTGTGAATGGAGGCTTAAAGTGATATTAAAGTCAAAAGGATTTTAACCCCTTCATGACTGAGCTAGTTTTCAGTTTCTGTTCAGTTTCACACTTTTTACATTTTTGCTGTGTGATTCTTCCACAGCAGTAATATACTTTCTTATTATAAAAAAATAGAATTTGTTTTATAATAATTATAGTATAAAAAAATATTTATATATAATTTTAATTTTCCAAAATTGTTTTACACTTTATTTTTTATTTTTTTACTTTGTAACAAAAAAAGTACAAAAAAACTTTTTCTTTTGGCAGTTTATATCAAGCAGTCATTATGACTGCTTGATAAATTAAGTTGTTTTAATTTTTGGCTATTATTAGGCTGCTCCAAATTTAGGAACAGCTAATAATAACCTTAGAGATTGAACCTGACAGCATGTCAGATTCAGATCTCACTAAAGGTCTTTGAACGTGCCCAGACGATCAGAAGTGATACATTTCAGGCACAGAGATACATTGTATCGCTTGTATCTGTTTGCCTGAAATGTATTATAAACATCGGGCTATTGAGCTTTCAAAACGAATAGCAGAGAGGTGATTCATTCTGCTTCCTCTCCGCTTTTTTCAGCTGTCAAATACGGGATTGCTATTGAGCGATCCCGTATTTGCATGTAACGGCTTCATTTTTTCATTAATGAAAGAAAGAAGATTTTACAAAAGCTTAACTATTTCATTAATGAATGCCTCAATACTGAGGCATTCATTAATGACTGGTAACCGCTGAGAATCAGCGGTTACCGGCATTACAGAGCCTTAAATAACTTGTCACGTACCGTGTATGTGGCCAGTCATATAGGCCCTTTGTGACTGGACATACAGTGTACGTCTCCTGTCATGAAGGGGTTAAACTATTTAAAATGCTGATGAAATAACTTACAGTGGATACTCCTTTTTGTTGTTTTTTTAAGTTTTAATTTCCTGCTGGTCCCCTGAGCACTGGTCCTGACTTCCTGTTTTAGAGTGGCTCCTTTTTCAAGTAGAGTGCAATGGAGTCACCCTTGTGTGTTCGTAAGCTGTGTGTGTTTCCACAAACAGACAAAAAA